AGACCCCAGACGCTATATCTTTTGATAGCCGGGCACCATCAGCTTTCTTCACCACATTTGCTTATTCACCCGCTTTGTCTTCAGCGGTTGTGTCGGGAACAGCCTCATCTTTCTCGCATGGAGAAGCTGGTGGTTTTGAACTACTTTTAGCAGTTAGCAGCCCAGTGAGTCATCGGCTACACCAGAAGGGCTCCATTGTCCTCTTGGCAGTTTTCTCTGGTTCCCCTGGTAGGGCCCTGTCACCCTCTGCTCCTCTGGTGAAGCCCTTAGGGGCAAGACTGTAGTTGTGTGCTGGCTCAGCATGCTTCTCTAGGAAAAGAATTTGTCTCAAGGGCAGATACCACGCTGGGCTAGTACTTGATGCTCACTGGACATTTGCTTAGTCAATTAAAAATGATTGAAGATCCACTCCATAATCCATTTCCCATCTCTCTGCTCACTCTTTCCCCTACCTTCCACCCTTCCTTCCTCTTTTGTCCTATTTCAGTCTAAAAGTAGAGGAAGAATGGAGCTGGTCAGGGCTGGGTTTACATCACAGCTATGTCCATACCTAGTAGCTTTGTGGCTTTCAATAAGCAACTGAACCTGTACTAACAGGGTTCTCATCTATAAAATGAAGAAAACGACTCCTATCTATGTCAACATATGAAAAATAAATCAGATAATGTATATAAAGTTCCCAGGGCAGCACCTGGTACACAAAAAGAACTTAACCCGTGCTCATATTGCTGCTGTTAGGATCATCACTCGCTACTAAAAGCCTGAGCTATTATCTGTGCTGTGTTGTGTCGGTTATTTGAGAGGCATGGTGACATTTCAGCGACTGCTAATCCAGTGGAGTTTAGTGGGAAGGACAATAAGCCTAGTTATGATACTTGCAGAATTGAAGGAGAGGGAACGATAGGGAATAACTTGATGAACATGAGGAGATACACGGGTGCAAAGAAGCAGCCATCTTTCAGCTCCCTGTGTTCCTCACATTCTGTATTTACAAATAAACAGCTGCTGCATGTTCTTGATCTCTTGGTAACAGACTGTCATCTAATAGTCCCTTGTAGACGGCACAATTGAGGATGGGATAATGAAGGGAATGAGAGGTGATACGTACTGCGATCATTATCTTGTCAGAGTACAGATTTAGCTTTGGATTCTGACATGCAAGAGAAGCTGCTGGAGAAATGACCAAAACAACAACAACAAAACATGATTTGTGATTAGCTACAATAATGGTGTCTTAGTTAGATTTGTTGTTGTGTTCAAATCATAGGCTAGGATCCTAGACATTAAGATAGGCCTCAAAATAGGGTTTCTTTGGGGAAGCACCAGGACTTTGATCTAAAAAGATCAGAGTTAAATTAAAGCATGGAAAACTCTTGAGAAAGCTACTTATATACAGATTGAATGAAAATTGAAATATGTGAGCATTTGTAAATCTTACAAAAAAAGTATGTTAAATTTTAACAAAAGGCAAAATTAAAAGGCCCATAATAATGAATAGCACCATCAGATCCTGCTTGTTGGTTTATAATTGCTGTCTGCTGCCACTTTTATAATATTATATATATGTGCATATATATATATATATATTTCACATTTACATGTGTGGATTCACTGCAATTCTCGATCAGCAGATAGGTAATCAGTGTAGGTGGCACTTTCGATCCCAGTTTAATGACAGATATCCTTATGAGAAAGTGATGATCTTATTCTTTGCCTTTAGTTCAGTCTTGCAACCTGCACATTATAAAACTTTGAGGCCAGAGATGGTACCTTTCTTGCGCATTACCAGTCCTTCATGATGAGCAAAATGCCCGTCACTCCATAAGTGCTCAGGACATATTTGTAAGGAGTGCTTAAGCAATTATTTGACCTTGAAAATTAAAGCCAAAATAGAATCATGTATGTAATTTAATAAGTATAAAGCATTGTTGTTTATTTGTTATTTATTAGTTGACAGTGCTCACTAAAATTTCCAGTGTACACATTTTGGAAACAGGGACTATTTTAAGTTCTCTGTTTGCAAAGGTGCTTGACACAATGGATGGATGGATTGTGATAAGAGCTGTCATAGCTCCCAATAAAATGATTTTTTTTTAAAGATACAAAGCAAGGAAAAGCATCTGAGGTCTTGAAAGCCATACATCAACAACAACACAATTAAAAAAAATAGATAATACAGAAGTTCTCTGTATGCCTTCTCATCAATCACCAGGAAAAGGCTACAAATTAGTCAATAACCTCAAAAGTGGTAGGATTATCAATTTTTAGTTCAGAAGTATCCCAGCATCCTGATTCTGTCTCTTTCTAGCTTGATGACTATGACCAAGTTACTCAGCCTCCCTTTGCGTCAGCATGCTTGCCTGAAAGGGGGGAATAATATGTATATGTATTAGTAATATTACTTCTCTCATATGATTATCTTGTGAGTCAAAATAAGATTGTACCTGTACAACACTTAATCCCGGTCTCAAACAATAAGTTGTTCAATATTTTTTAGATAGTTTTCATTGTTATTCTCATTTTTAAAGTAAAATTTATGAACTTGATTTTAGTTTCTGCCATATCTATTTCTATTTATGGTACCCCCACATGTGCAGAATAGATGAACTTTTCCACAGACTGTCTTACAGGACACT